CACCCCACCACCCCACACAGCCACCATCCCACACCAGTCTCCTCACCTCACACAGCCCACCACCCCTGCACACCCCACCACCCCACACAGCTCACCACCCCACACACCTCACACCACCCCACACAGCTCACCACCACACCTCACCACCTCACACAGCTCACCATCCACAGCTCACCACCTCACACAGCTCACCACCTCACACAGCTCACCACCTCACACAGCTCACCACCTCACAGCTCACCACCTCACAGCTCACCACCTCCACAGCTCACCACCCACCACCCTCACCACCCCACACAGCCCACCCACCACACAGTTCACCCACACACCCCACCACCCCACACAGCCCACCACCCCACACAGCTCACCACCCCACAGCTCACCCCACACAGCTCACCCACCCCACACAGCTCACCACCCCACACAGCCCACCACCTCACACAGCTCACCACACCCCACACCAGCTCACACCCTCCCCACAGCCTCACCACCTCACACACTCCTCATACACAGCCTCACCACCTCACAGCTCACCACCACACAGCCCACTCCCCCCACACACAGCTCCACCACCCCACACAGCTCACCACCCTCACACAGTTCACCACCCCACACAGCCTCCACCACCTCACACACACAGCTCACCACCTCACACAGCTCACCACCCTCCATGTCCACCACCTCACACACAGCTCACCACCTCACACAGCTCATCACCCTCACACAGCCCACCACCCCACACACAGCCTCACACCTCACACAGCACACACCTCACACAGCTCACCGCCCCACACAGCTCACCACCCCTCACACAGCCCACCACCACACAGCCTTCAACACTCCCACACACAGCTCACCCCACACACAGCTCACCTCACACAGCTCACCACTCACACAGCTCCACCACCCCACACAGCTCACCACCTCACACAGCTCACCACCACACAGCTCACCACCTCACATAGCCCACCACCTCACACAGCTCACCACCTCACACAGCTCACCACCCCACACAGCTCACCACCCTGCTACACCTCTCACCACCTCACACAGCCCACCACCACACAGCCTCACCACCACACAGCCTCACCACTCACACAGCCCACCACCCCACACAGCCCACCACCTCACACAGCCCACCACCCCACACACAGCTCACCCCACCCCACACAGCTCACCACCCCACACACACAGCCACCACCCCACAGCTCACCACCCCAGCCCACCACCCCACTGGCCCACCACCCCACACAGCCCACACCCCACACAGCTCACCACCCCACACAGCTCACTCACCCCATCCAGCCCACCCACCCCACACAGCTCACCACCTCACACAGCTCACCACCCCTGCCAGCCCACCACCTCACAGCCCACCACCCCACACAGCTCACCACCCCACAGCCCACCACTCACACACAGGTTCACCACCCCACAGCTCACCACCCTCACACACAGCCCACTGACCACACAGTTCACCACCCCACACAGCTCACCACCCCACACAGCCCACCACCCCACAGCTCACCACCACACAGCCCACCACCCTCACCCAGCTCACCACCTCACAGCCTCACCACCCCACAGTTCACCACCTCACACAGCTCACCACCCCACATAGCCCACCACCCACAGCCCACCACCTCACACAGTTCACCACCTCACACACCACACCCCACACAGCTCACGCTCACACAGTCTCACACTCCCCACACAGCTCACTGCCCCACACAGCCCACCACTCACACAGCTCACTCCCCACACCCTCACCACCTCACACACCTCACCACCTCACACAGCCCACCACCCCACACAGCCCACCACCCCACACAGCCCACCACTCACACAGCCCACCCCACACAGTTCACCACCCCACAGCCCACCACCCCACACAGCTCACCACCCCACACAGCCTCACCCCCACATCTCTCACCCCCCACAGCCCTCCCACCGCCCCCACACAGCCCACCACTCACACAGCCCACCACCCCACACAGCCCACCACCCCACACCCCACCACCTCACACAGCCCACCAACCCCACAGCTCACCACCCCACACACAGCCTCACCACCCCACACAGCTCACCACCTCACATGCCCACCACCCACACAGCCCACTCACCCCACACAGCTCACGCCCCACACACAGCCCACCCCCACACCAGCTCACCACCCCACAGCCTCCCACCTCACCCCACACACCCCACACAGCTCACCACCTCACACAGTTCACCACCCCACACAGCCCACCACCCCACACCCCACCACCCCACACACCCCACCACCCCTCACACAGCCCACCCCACACAGCCCACCACCCCACACAGCTCACCACCCCACACACAGCTCCACCACCCCACACAGCCCACCACTCCCACACAGCTCACACCACCCCACACAGCCCACCACCCCACACAGCTCACCACCCCACACACCTCACCACCCCACACAGCCCACCACCCCACACAGCCCACCACCCCACACAGCCCACCACCCCACACAGCCTCACCACCACACACCCACCACCCCACACAGCCCACCACCCCACACAGCCCACCACCCCACACAGCCTTCCACCACCCCACACACAGCTCACCACCCTCACACAGTTCACCCCACCCCCACAGCTCACCACCTCACACAGCCCACACTCCACAGCCCACCGCCCCACACAGTTCACTCACCACACAGCCCACCGTCCACACAGCTCACCACTCACACAGCCCACCACCACACAGCCTCCACCACCCCACACACCTCACCACCTCACACAGCTCACCGCCCCACAGCTCACCACTTCACACAGCCACCACCCTCACACAGCTCACCACCTCACACACCCTCACCACCCCACACAGCCTACCACCTCACACAGCTCACCACCCCACACAGCTCACCACCCCATACAGCTCACGTCACACAGCTCACCGCCCCACACAGCTCCACACCCCACACAGCTCACCACCACACAGCTCACCACCCCACACAGCTCACCACCCCACACAGCCCACCACCCCACACAGCTCACCACCCCACACAGCCCACCACCCCACACAGCCCACCACCCACACAGCTCACCACCCCACAGCTCACCACCACACAGCTCACCACCCCCACACAGCTCACACCACACAGCTCACACACCTCACACAGCTCACCACCTCACACAGCCTACCACCTCACACAGTTCACCACCTCACACAGCTCACCGCCTCACACAGCTCACCTCTTCTCCAATAAGTATGTGTGTATAATAAACAGTATCACAGTACTGTTTATTGTATCTCACATTATATCACAAATTAAGTTGAAAAAATCTATTTGTTTACACACAAAAAAAAAGATAAATGTTGGAACATATAAAATATTTCCTATTCTCCATTAAGTGCCGGAGAAAAAATAATTAACAGAGAGAGATAGAAAAAAATCACTGTTTATACATTATCAATTATGACACTGATGGCAAAGTCTCCATAATTTAACTTGAATACCCGCAGCCAGAGGTGGAAGGCTGCACTCTTGACATATGCCACTGGTCAACAACAACTCTAATGCTTGCTCTAAATACATTACGCACAGATTGGGCTGATAATGTATTGTACATAAGAAGGCCTTTAAAGCCTCCAATATAGCACCATTCAGTTCTTGTGTACTGTTATTAATTATGGATGAAGCATTCATTCCTCTTGTTCACCTGCTTCCTTATCTTCCCCCGTGACTGGATGTTGATGCTGCTGTTGTTGGCTCTGGTGATCCTGATGTTGATCAGTTGATCTGATGTTCTGCTGCAGACGCTGGCATAATTGGTGATGTCTGCCTCCCTTGAAGACGAACTTTTATCTCCACAACTCATGTTTCTGCGTCAATTTTGGCGCGTAGCTCGACCTGGTTTGTTTATATTTATCTTGAAAAGGCGAACCAACCCTCTCGAGTTGCGGCGTTCGGGTTACTAAATAGTAACTCGATGTTCGGGATTGATATTCGAGTTTGACGAACCCATTTGACGGGTTAGTAAACAGTAACCCGACATTCGGGATTGCTCTTCGGGCTTGTTGCCCCGAGTGTTTAAAGAAATGGCCGACTGTCGCCGCCCCTCCTGCTAGATGTAGCCCTCCACACGTGCAACATTTGTGGACGGCCCTGCCGATCCCGTATCGGCCTCTCGAGTGACCTCAGAGCTCACCAACGAAGGTGACATCTATAATAACTCATATCATTGTGTCATAGCTGGAGGATCATCATACTCGATTCCGAGTGACAGCAAAGTAGTAGTAGTAGTAGTAGTAGTAGTAGTAGTAGTAGTAGTAGTAGTAGTAGTAGTAGTAGTAGTAGTAGTAGTAGTAGTAGTAGTAGTAGTAGTAGTAGTAGTAGTAGTAGTAGTAGTAGTAGTAGTAGTAGTAGTGTGTGTGTGTGTGTGTGTGTGTGTGTGTGTGTGTATGTGTGTGTGTGTCCTTTAGATCTTGGAGGATTCCCTCCTCCCATATATTCTCCAGAAGTGAGTGGAGACGGCTGGCAATACAGTAGTAAGCAGAGGTCCTCCTGCTTTAAACGCGCACACACACACACACACTCACACTCACACAAGCAGATTTCTTCATTGTTGATTCCACTAACTGCGAACTGATTCGCTGTTACTTATCAGAATGCATTATCTGGGATAGTGAGGTAGGTGACAAGCGAAAGGTCGTTAAAGAGTAGGACAAAGGAGTTATTTGGGTGTGACGTTAACAAGAACGACTGAACAAGAGTGATAGAAGCTGTAGAAAATTATTGAATAAGAAGATAGCTAAGAGAGAGAGAGAGAGAGAGAGAGAGAGAGAGAGATTAACCACACAGTATCTCAATATTGGTCAATGGTTATCAGAACGCCCTATAAACTGATATAATCAAACATAAAAAGTATAATGTCATCACGTTAATGATACAAAAAACATCACGTCTCCTTTAACTGTTCGCATCACTACCAGTATCCTCCGCGCAGGCACTAAGTCGAGAACCTCCCTGTACACACACACAGTATTGATCCTGATGGTGGCGAGGACGGGGATGGAGGAAAACATCACAGAGAAAGAGGTCCAGATACACCCAGAAGCTGCTAACAGAAACCCAACATACGGTACCCAATACTATGGTACTGTTGCAGGTGAGTCAGTGAACCAGTGTCGTGTTTAGTGATTGAACCATTGTCGTGTTTATTAAGTGAAGCAGTGAACCACTGTTGTATTCAGTGGTGGATCAGTGATCCAGTGTCGAGTTTAATCAATGAATCAGTATCATAATTATTATATAGTCAGAACTAGTTTCAATGTAGTCAATACACCAGTGTCACTATTTAGTCAATGACCCAGTGTCGTATTTAGTGAGTGAACCAACGTACAGTTCCGTTCAGAAGTTGTTTATACACCCGCTGTAAAGGACGCATAGCCTGTTGCACCCTTCCTGGATGTCGGGTCATTACGCCGACCCTCCCACCAACACACAGAGTGGAACGGACAACGGAACAGTTTGATTGGAACGAAGACTCATCAAAAAGTGATGGGAAGGATATTAATATAAATATCGGCCAACGTTACTGATGATGGATGATGAACATGTGTTAATATACTGCTTATAAGAAAAAGACCAGTGATAGGGATATCTATTCAAATATCAGACTGCAATGGGGGAATCGGTTTCGAATGAACATATAAGAAAATGTTGACGCTTGTGCATTATGCAGAAGACCCGACAGCCGCACCCTTGTCCACTACCTCCTAAGATATCCCCACACACAACATTTCCACGCCTGCTGGACCACCACTCCACGACCCCCTGACGGAGACACGATGATACTCCCCATACTGGCCAGACATTATGTAAATAGTATTGATGGCGTGTTGAAGGAATATCCTTCCTTCCTTAGGCTTTAGTAAGCCCCTTTATAATATTTATATATACTTGTGACACTTGCCAGATGCTTCTGGTGTTATTGTACAAGGGTACTGAGTGATAGCATTAGGATCCCGATTCCTCTATCAAGTAATAAAATATTGAAATTGAAAATGTTGAACAGAGTTCATATTCGTATATCAAGTAATGAATACAGTAAAGACTCTTGATATACGCTGAACTCTGTTCTACTATTTCCAATAGTGTTCATTCAAAACCGATTTCTCCATTGTATTCTGATATTGGAATAGATATTTCTGTCACTATTGCTTTCTTCTTCTTATAAGCAGTATATTAACACATGTTCATCATCCATCAGCAGTAACGTTGACCGATATTTATATTAATATCCTTCCCATCACTTTTTGATGAGTCTTCGTTCCAATCAAACTGTTCCGTTGTCAGTTCCACTCTGTGTGTTGGTGGGAGGGTCGGCGTAGTGGCTTGACGTTCAGGAAGCGTGCAACAGACTTATGAGTCCTTTACAGCGGGTGTATAACGAACTTCTGAACGGAACTGTTGTACCAGCGTCATATCTATATTTAAGAAGAACCTAAAGAATCACCATACATAGTTATCGCATTAATTGTTGTATGGATATTATGGGTATTCTTCACTGAATCTATTCTGTCTTTCAACTCTAAAACACCTTTAATCTCGTAGGTGTTAAGTCATTCATGCCTCATCTGTGTCCTTAAAGTACAACAATAATATAACCTTGCTGAACTAAAATATAGCATCGCTGTGTTGAGATTTTCTCGGAGGTTGAAAATATCTGAAAGGGAGCAGACACCTCTTGTTCATAAATCATTTAATTAATGTTTCCTTACCATGTGCAGTACATAATAGTGTCACTCATGGTAGGTCATGTGTCAACAGCTACCATGGGGGGACTGGCCATGGGGACTCTGCTGGGGTACTCATCTCCGGCTGGTCCACACCTGATGGCCAGCACCAACAACAGATCTCGGGTATTGAGTAACTCAACGGGGCAGCCGCTGCAGCTAAGCCAGGCGGAGTACAACTGGTTCTCGTCGTCAGTCACTCTGGGAGCTGCTGCTGGTGCCCTGATGGGCGGCCTGTGTATCAACTCAATAGGCAGGAGAGGCACCATGTTGATCTTCTTCGTGCCCTACCTGACTGGGTGGGCCCTAGTAGGTACATGAAAAAACTTGCTGCTTATAACCCCTATCACCTCTACTGTCACCCAGTTGGATAATTATATAATTAAGTCTATCTCTCTAAAGCTGTCTTATTAAACACATCATAATGTTTAATGTCACAACTTATTCTACTGCTGTCAATCAGACGGCTGGAGGGTGAATAATACTTCTCACGTCGTACACGAACATTATAATTCGGTCAAACCTGTTGAATACAATTCATTTAGTGTTTCAAATAAGTCATACAGTACATAGGCACTCTTACATATATTTATGTATATATTTCATGTAGATCCACAATGAAAACGTGGATAAGATAAATCTTGATAAAATCACACGGGAAAAGGGAAACAACGGAGCACCTTAGCTTTCATCTTTATTCAAGACATCAGTTGCCTCTGAAGATGTCTTGAATAAAGACGAAAGCTAAGGTGCTCCGTTGTTTCCCTTTTATTTTATAAAAAAAAAATATATATATATATATATATATATATATATATATATATATATATATATATATATATATATATATATATATATATATATATATATATATATATATATATATATATATATATATATATATATATATATATATTGTAATCGCTCATAGGAGCGATTTTGGTTTGTGCAGGACAATAAGACCCTTGTCGTTGACGCGATGAGTATAATTCGGTCAAAACCTGTTGAATACAATTCACATATAACAACTGCTGGTACATCAGGACACATTTTGAATAATACGATCAATATACAGTACATAATTACACTTATTAAAGTTATTTAGAGTTCTCAGAGGATTCAACAGTTCACAATCACACTCACGTTTTGGGGTCTAGGGTTAGACCAACGAGAACAAATATAATGTCCTGCAGGAAAATGTTGTGGACGAGAATCAAGATGTTGCCTCTACAGTAGACGGCGATAGACTGTCCCTCAGGCAGTCACACAGCTGCTACCAGCTCCATCTCGCTTAGTAAGGTATTCTGAGTTGTGAACAGTTTCTTCACTTAACATGTGGCCGGTGCACACAATTTGTGCGTGGCGAGAACACTCCCCCTGTCAGGCTTCATACGAAATTACGGCCTACCATTTTGGTGTTTGTATGTACTGAAGGACTGCCATACAGTCTGTCCAGAACACTGATCTGTCTATTTGTAATTCAAGTTCTCGTCGCAGTTGTTTGCCTGCCTTGGCAGCCAGCACTGCCGTGTAGAGCTTGAGTCGAGGTATGGTCTGCTGTTTCAGAGGGGCTAGCTTGGCCTTGCCACACACGAAGGAGATATGGTGGGTTCCATCTTCACACGTGGTCCTCAGATACGATTCAGCTCCATACGCTTGTGGGAGGCGTCGTAGAAGTGGTGTAGTTGCATGACAGCCACTAGATTTGCATCCTCGGGTGGGTAGGAACGTGTACGTGTGATAGGTGAGGAAGTTCATCTAGCCATCTTTGCCAAGCCACCCTGTTCTGTTCAGCCAATCGTTCATCCCACCAAACACCTCGTCTACACTCATTTTGGAATATAATTTTGGCTCTTGTGACGCTCGGAGCGATGAGTCCCAGTGGGTCATATATGGAGCTGACCATACTCAGAAGGCTTCGTTTCGTCTCCGGTTTATTAGGGATCTGGACTCGGATCACTAGTTCGTCCTTTCCAGGTCCCACAAGATTCCCAGCGCTCGTGCAGTGGGGAGCCTGTCGTCTTTCAAATTACTTCCTTTACTCCCACGGCTTTCTCTGTCTGTGGAATTGCCTTGAGGACTTCCTTGTGATTACAGACCCACTTTGTAAGTCTGAATTCGCCCTTCTTCATCAGCTGTCTCAGTCAATGGGTAATTATCGTTGCCTTCCCTGGCGAATCTACTGAGAGAAGCAGATCGTCAACGTAGAAGTTACGATTCGCTTTCTTGATGTCATCATACCTCCAAAGAGATGTACTGTCATTCGGTAAGTGGTGGGGGCCCCTGGCAGCTGGTCGTCCGTTTATCATAAGAATCGTAAGACGCCTCGATGTTCGGGTACTGCTCACGCTTAATGGAACATTGCCTCGATATCAGCCATGAGTGCCACCTTTCCTTGTCTGAATCTGATGAGGACTCCCATCAAATTGTTGTTAAGGTCTGGCCCTTGCATCACCTGGCTGTTCAATGACATCAACTCATATTCGGCTGCACAATCAAAACTATTCTCACCTTTTCTGGCTTGTTGGGATACAACACAGGGTGGTGTGGGAGATACCAGGTCTTCCCGGGTGCAATACTGAGTTCTTAACGTGGAACTTGCTCAGCATGTCCCTCGTCGACTAGACGTCACATCTCTTATTGATACCTTTGAGAGAGCCCTGGGTTCTTTAGGAGGCATTTTTCTCAGTCCCGCCAATCGCTGTTCGGCAAGCTTCTTATTGTCCGGGAGTTCCGGTTCTTTATGGCGAAACGGGATGGGAAGTTTGTAGTGTCCGCCCACTTGAGTAATTGACGTTGACCACTGCATCAGGACTCTCTTATCTTCGATAGGATCATCGTTACTGTAGGCGGAGTCGCATTCCCAGAAGTTCCTGACTTGTTTTTTCCAGATTTGTCTCCGAATTTAATGTTGCCATTCTGACACAGTGGTTGATCACGGCATAATCACGGCTCACCACTCCAAGCGGTCCATTTATAGTCCAGCCCAGAAGGGTGCGTGTTGCAAACGGCTCTCCGTCCTTCCCGGTCCTTACTTCTAACGACACTAATACTTGTGGTACATCCAGACCTATCAGGAGATCCACTCTTTTCGGTGCTTGGCGTATTGCAGTACCTCGGAGGTGTTCCCACATGGTGACGTCTTGGGTGTCTGCGACCGAAAACTCTCAGAGAAGACTGTAGATTCACAACAACAATGACCTTGGGGATAGTGATGGATCGGCTCTTTCTTACTCTTACGCTAACCACCTTTACACTGATCTCTTCGGTGTTTACACTACTTCTTTCTTTCATGATCGTGCCAATGGAGAGAAAAAAATGGCCTTCCCTCTGCCTGCAGCCAGTTAGCTAGACTACGTGTGCAGTATGATGATTGCTGCCTGAATCCAAGAGAGCTCCAGTGACCACTGCTCCTTCGCATCTTGGTTCTTCTCCTCCATCCTGACTTTCAGTATTGGAAGTGCGACTCTGCTGGACTCTTGTAATCACAACTCGCAATCGTTTGGTTCGTCACACCGATCATCAATTCCGTTGTTAGTTATGGTTTCCCTGACCCATCTAAGCGAATTTCCTCTATTCGTGGTCACCAGCACGCTTTGTGTACTCCCAGTCCTTTTCTCCACGGTGCTTGTACCAGCTTTGGTCTTCCATGATTTAGCTCCACTAGTTGCTGAATCTGGTGGTGGCATAATGGCCTTAACTTGACTCATTCTAGGTCGCTTGTGGTCAGGTGATATGTCTATTTGGTAAGTGCCCCCCAGTGATTGCTCTCTTCACCCTTTGGAAACTGGTCTGGTGTTCTCCTCTTTCAACTTCGCCCCGTTGCGCCTTGCCACTGCTCGTCAGAACTCCCGTGAAGTGCAGAAGCCTCGAGTGTACTCCAGAGCAGCCATCTATACCACATACCATCTTCTGGCTGCACCCCGTTATCCGGTGATTACGACCCAGGCAGGCGAAGCAGCGACGTTCTTCCCTTACGAGGAAAGTTCGCTTTCCTGTGGACATGCTGAGGAATGTTTGGCACATCTGAAGAAGGTGATCTCTGCGGCATAACGAGCAGCGTTGATCGTCCGTTTCTCTGGTTGTCTTTATTCCTGATGTCACCAGACCCACAAGTTGTTTCCTCGACGAGGATCGGCGTGAGGGTGAGTCTGCATATATTCTGCTTGGTTCCTCCCGTCCTTGTCCCTTTGGGGCCTCCTCCGCCTTGTCGACCATATCCAAAGTGAATTCCAACATCCACTCGATGCCAGGAGGCTTCCCTTTCTTCCTTTTGTATTTATGCACCTTATCCACATAGTCGTCCCTTATCTTTCCTTTGAATCTCTCAGCTAACGTATGTATTGATTCATACTTGTCAATCTGACGTAGTTCTCCCAGAACCTTCAAGTTCCTCATGCAATTCCCCAGTTCGTCTGAGAACTGTTGGGGGTCTTTCGCGTCACTTAGTCTCACAGTTGGACCTTATTAGCTGACAGACGTAAGTGTGCTTGTTGCCGTGACGTTTCTCTAATATGTCCACAGCTTCCTTGTACCATGCTTTGGGATCTTGTATTTGCAGGCATCCTCGCAAAGCATCCTTAGCGGAGCTGGCGTAGGCGATGAAAAGTGTCTCTAATTTCAAAGCATCAGGTATCTGCGGCATCCCAACGTGTTGCTGGAAGGGTCCCTTGAACTCCCAGTATTAACCACAAGTTCCTCCGCTGAACTTTGGCGTCGGCCCTTGGGAGAACCTCATAATTTCTAACAGTTCTCTCACCCAGCCCTCGGAACTCGGTGGGTCGTCCTTTTGGTCCTTCATCAACGTTAGTGGTTTCGGTGAGCGAGCTTGATGCTGGGAAGCACTTCCGCGCTCCCCCTGGTGAAATGTTCCTGGCTCTGCTGTTTATGTGAGCACCGGGAGTCCTCTTGGAGTATATAGCGTTTCTTCGTCAGTTTCGGTTTGAGGAAGGTCGTGTCTCTGGTAGTGATAACACCTTTCCGCGATCTTCTGTTGTCGTTGTTGTTGAGATTGTTGGACCGTAGTCCGACACGGGCCTTTGCCTGTAGGCAAAGGCTGGAGCTCTTGGAGCAGCCAGGTCGGATTTGGGATTGAGGATGGAGGTTGTCCTACTTGCAGATATGAAATGATACTGCAGGTTTGCAAGTGTAAGCGGACCCTCGGTCAGTGAACGCTTACCACCAACCCCCAACTCTTGGATGTGGTCAGATTCGGAGTGGCGCGCACCCCGAACCGGGGTCCGCACTTGTTAAGGATACTTCCTAAGCTATCTGGGTGGTGGGTATCGTGTGATGACCCGGAGAAGGTGGTGAATGTGGTTTGGTTGGGCCTTTGAGATTGCTACCAACTCTGTTTGTAGGGTGGAGCAGTCATTAGAAAGTCTCCATTGGAGGGTCTGACCTTGGGTGTAGAAAGCCGCTACGGATCTATGATGTTTTGGGTCCACCGAGCCGTCTGTGAAGTATGATGCTGCATCAGTCGGTGTTTCAGTGGCTATTGGTTCCTGAGTTATTCTTCTGAGGTTCTCCTTCTGGAGGTTGGCTTAGCTATCACTTAGTTCAGTGACGTTCTGCATCATCGCTGTCATCTGCTGCGTCTGTTGGTATTGCTCACATAATTGCCCCTCAATGCCTCCGTCTGGTGGTTCCTTCTCTTCTCGGGAGACAGGTTTATCTCACGCTGCCTTGGCGGGGTGGGTGTGACGCGACAGTGTCTCATTTTTGACTCATTTCCTTCCGTGTCCATGACTGTCAGAACAGCGAGCGTGATATGTCTTGCTCGATAAATGTATGCAGTAACGCTTAGTATCAGCTACTACTCATGGTGACGTCCCACGATCGCTGATATCACACAATTGGAGATGTCACACTGACGCGTGCCATACGCACGAGTGACGTCACACAAACAGTGCCATACGCACGAGTGACGTCACACAAACAGTGCCATACGCACGAGTGACGTCACATAAACAGTGCCATACGCATGAGTGACGTCACACAAACAGTGCCATTCGCACGAGTGACGTCACGCAAACAGTGCCATACACACGAGTGACACACTCAAGCGTGTCATACGCACGAGTGACGTCACGCAGTGCCATACACACTAATGACGTCACACAAACTGCCATACGCACGAGTGACTTCACACAAACAGTGCCATACGCACGAGTGACGTCACACAAACAGTGCTATTCGCACGAGTGACGTCACACAAGCGTGTGCCATATGCACGAGTGATATCTCTCAAATATGTGATGTGCCATAAACACGAGTGATGTCACACTTAACACGACCACAGAGACCCAACAATCAATGTAGGGACTCATTACACAACTCACAAACACTATTGCGGCGCCCTTACATACTTACACAACATTACCTAGCTGTCACAACCCTTTATTTCCTAACAGAAAGCTCACTACACTCATTCTTATATCTTATTTACTCACACACACACACCAGCCTTCTTAAACTTGGCGATCTAGTCTGGCTGTACGCTTTGATCACTATCTCTCCCGCGTGTTTGAACGAATATTATTGACACAGAGTCCACTTTTTCCTGACACGCAGTCCTCGCGGCAGGCAGCGTATCTGTCCGGAATGAACGATAACACTCCCGCGCGCCCGTACGAACAATTTTGGCACCGAGACCAGTCCTTTCTGACACTGGACCCACCTACACAGGCGTCACGCTTCTCTACGTACACATACGAGTGCTATGCACGTAAGAATGCTATACACGTAAGAGTGCTATACACACACTCAACCGACAACCTCCTTTTCGCTGGGGTTAACTATTATTATATTATAGGCATCACTTTAGTAGATGATTCACAAATTCACACAAAGGCGTCCCCGCTCTCCTGCTGCGTAGCTGCGGGGTGTGTCGGGTGCCGGAGGGAAGGGCCCCGCTGAAGGTCCGTCGACGGTCGAGTCATTCGCCAGTTCTCAGTAGACTGTATCGGCAGACTGTAGGACCCACATTTTGAATATAATCGCTCATAGGAGCGATTTTGGTTTGTGCTGAAAAATAAGACCCTTGTCGTTGACGCGATGAGTATCATTCGGTCAAAACCTGTTGAATACAATTCACATATAACAACTGCTGGTACATCAGGACACAGTTTGTATAATACGATCAATATACAGTACATAATTACACTTATTAAAGTTATTTAGAGTTCTCAGAGGATTCAACAGTTCACAATCACACTCACGTTTTGGGGTCTAGGGTTAGACCAACAAGAACAAATATAAAGTCCTGCAGGAAAATGTTGTGGACGAGAACCAAGATGTTGCCTCTACAGTAGACGGCGATAGACTGTCCCTCAGGCAGTCACACAGCTGCTACCAGCTCCATCTAGCTTAGTAAGGTATTCTGAGTTGTGAACAGTTTCTTCACTTAACATGTGGCCGGCGCGCACAATTTGTGTGGCGATAACATATATATATATATATATATATATATATATATATATATATATATATATATATATATATATATATATATATATATATATATATATATATATATATATATATATATATATATATATATATATATATATATATATATATATATATATATATATATATATATAGTCTATTTATAAAATCTTGAGACCTTTAGAAAAATAATATGGTTGGGGTTGTGTTGTCATACGGTGAAGGAAATCTAAGGAAAACAAACAATCTTATGACAACATAAATTCATAGAATTTCAAGTATCACTTCGTAGAACTTATTTATAATCAAACTGTTTAGATTTGTTTATCATTCTAGTTTTTATTAATGATTTCTCTTTGGATATTATAATATCAAGAATTATTACGTAAACGTTATCTGCTCAACAACTGTAAAATATATACAGATAATCGAAGTGTTTGTGAATCTTTTTACCACAGAGGTTTTATTAAAAATTTCATTTCCGTTATAGAGTGGAAGCGACCGTTACCGGGTTGTGCAGTGAGATAATATACCTATAGGTTTTTCAAGAGAGGCAGGCAGTATAAGAAGTAAAACTACTTCACACACCAGGGCCGGATTCAGGAGTGGGCAAAGTGGGCAGCTGCCCAGGGGCCTCCACATATGACAATATTTTATTTATTTGATTATTCATTTGGATTATTTTTATTTTCATTCTTTAAAATTCATGTTTATCTATTCCATCACGTAAAACTATGTTCAGCAAGAAGCGTGATAGAAATTAGGCTAGCTACTCCTTGAAATTCATGAATACCTGGTTTTCCTATGAACCGTATATTTTTAATATTTTTAATATAACTGCATATGGCTTCAAAATTCTCCAAAGAAGTGTTCAAATTTCAAAATTTTCCCGGGGGGCTTACAGCGCCCCCCGGAACTCCCAGATGTTTAGGCTCGCTTCACTCGCCACTCCACCCTCTTGGGTAGTTATAATGAGGGGGGCCTCCACAAAGAGGCTGCCCAGTGCCCATGGGCCTCCACAGGTCTAAATCCGGCACTGTCACACACACACACACCCACAGTCCCACACCCCTCTATGTTTTCAAGTTACATACTCAGTATCCGGGAAAGAAGTTAAGAATTTATCCAAGTCCTCGCACATTACGCTTTTCATTCCGACCATTTCTTTAGAGGTTTCCATATCCTTCGTTCTATCTCAAAATAAAATATCACCACCCAGCTGCAGGTGGGAGCTTCGGCATGATGGTGGTGGGGCGGGTGATGTCAGGCGTCTGCATGGGCATAACTTGTGTTGCGGTACCCACCTACATCGGGGAAATCGCTTCCGCTGAGATCAGAGGCGTTCTGGGTGAGTAGCACTTCGTTCTATTTAGTTATTAACCTAAGCCTTACGTCAAGAGATAGTATGTTTACTCACAACACAATAAATTAATTTCACTTTTACAGTAAATGGCACAATATAGTTTTCTGCTTACGTGTGTGATCATCGCAAAAATTAAATACAGTATATTGTATAATTTAATAAAAAGACTACATACTTAGCCTATCTTGATTAGATAGATAGATAGATAGATGGATAGATAGATACTTTTTTGCGATGTAACTAACAATAAAAACTGTTGTATTTACCTTTTACTTCTATATATCTTTTTATTTACGTATACTTTTTCGTTTCCTCTTTCTTTATTCTCTAATTCTCTCTTCTGTTCTTTCTGTTTTTTTAATATTCGTGAGATGGGGAAGGTTATGGGTAGAGGAGAGAGAAAGGGGAGGTGGGAGTTTGAGGAAGGAGGGAGAGTGACTTGTTTATGTTTGTTTCTTGTTTTATTTAGTTTAACAAATTTATTGATAAAGCTTGGAGTACAGTTTGTCTATTCTGAGTAATTCAGTCAGGTCTTGACACTGAGGGTGGTATCACATCTCACTGCCACGCAGGACAGAGGTTCATACACAAAGAAATACATCATTTTCATTAACAATATATATATATATATATATATATATATATATATATATATATATATATATATATATATATATATATATATACATACACATACCTACACATATATACATAGATCAGATTCATGTGGGTGATGTCACTGTTCACTGCCATGCAGGACAGAGGTTCATACACAGAGAAATGCATCATATTGATTAGCAGTATATATAGGTCAGAGTCATGTGGGTGATGTCACTGTTCACTGCCATGCAAGACAGTGGTTCATATACATTGGACGTCATATTCTAATTGAAGACTAATCAGTGCTGGCTAGCAAATTTGGGATAAACAGCAAGAATGTCGCCAAGCACACCCAATTCAATATAGTAATTACAAAGTTCATGATACAATAAGCCAGGTGGCCTGAAGACTTTGACAGTGTCACATTCAATAATATACGTAGTGTTCAAGTGTATGCTTTAAAGGTTTATCACAAAGTTTACATGCTGAGGGGGAGGGTGTGAGTTGGGGCAGGAGGCTACAGTAGGCCCTTACACCAGAGGGTAATCTGATATGAGGGGAAAGAGAGGGAGAGAGAATAGCTGGGGAATAATGGCATAACTGGTGATAACTGGGAACAGGGATACCAGGCGGTAGGCTATGTTATTTCTAATGGGTCGCTGTGATACTCTCCCCACAACTGCTAATTGGTCACTTGCCGTCCGCTTACCAGCCAACCAGCGGCGAGTTCCACAGACCAGGCCTCGCTTTCGGACTGCATGGTGATTGGCCAGTTACCACCTTCACCTCATCCAATCAGCAGCCCCGCTCACATCACATCTCTCAACCTGATTCGGCAGAATCGTATAAATACCCCCAGCCTCGCCGTATCGCGACTCATGCAATAAAACAAACAAACCTAAAGAAACTGCAGATAATTCAAAACTTAGCCCTAAGAGATGTATATAACATCAGATATCCTGACATAGTCACCAACCGTCAACTACACCAACGAGCGCAAATAGAACCCCTAAACATTTACCTACACCAACACTCAAAAAGAATATGGACAAAGTTAGAAGAAATAGAGGCAGGACCAATCAAAGAATGGGTGGAAGAGACAGAAGACGGAAGAAGAGAACACTCGTGGTTCCCTAAAAGTAAAAGAAGAGCCCTAGAACCCACACCAACTCCACTCTATTAAAAGATGCAACGTTACCCCAGTGACAACCTTGGCAGCCAAACCACACACAACATTAGATCATAAACAGACGGGATGTTCTTGGCAGAAACACAAGTACCTGCCCTAGACTCCTCACCATTGGCTAGGACATAACACACGAAAATGTAAGGCATAAAACTGCAATAGTTGCTAAACATACAAACACCTGACATAAATATAACACCTAAGACGAAAATTAGCTGAAACACAAACATGAGATAACAGAAGCACTTGGGTTGAGCCCCAAGACCTAGCATTCTACTACTATTTTCCAATTTCCTCGCTTTTCTTCTGCACTATCCACCAACCCCAAGTCCCTCCAAATTCCACCATTATTCTTCAAGTCCAGTTCCCGCACCACCAATCTATGCACCAGCATCAAGATCTCTTCACACTTTACTTCATCCATCCATCGCGACTCAGAAGATTCCGCAAATTAAACACCAATACACAACTTCACCTTTACAAAGCACTAGTCAGACCACACCTGGAATATCCCCCAATTCCACTCAACACTATAACAAAATCAAATAAACTCAAAATACAAGCAGTTCAAAACGTAGCCCTCAGAAGAGCAGCAAAACTCAGACCACCATGTACAAAAAATTCCAGCGAGCTACACACAGAACATAATTTAACCACAATCAACATCAGAACACATAATCAAGCATTAGCAATATGGGAAAAACTACAAGAACTAGAAGACCCATATTCCAACAATTAATGCAAGAAGACATTACCAGAACACACAACTGGTGGCCAAAGAGCATAACATTTGACAACACAGAACCAGAACCAATATACACAAAATGAAAACCAAGAGACTCAAAGGACATGGAGGGCCCCCCTCCCCAAACACCATAAACTACCTCAGCTTAGATTAGCTTGGCTTCCCTTCCCTTCCCTTCCCTTACCTTCCGTTCCGTTCCGTTCCCTTCCCTTCCCTTCCCTTCCCTTCCCTTCCCTTCCCTTCCCTTCCCTTCCCTTCCCTTCCCTTCCCTTTCCTTGCTGTAGTGGACCTGAAATGATGACATGGCAGACTTAACCCCGTCCCCACAAGGTGGACACCCCACCTGCTATCAATCTCCCTCTTTATTTCCCACTTCCTAACCTTTACCTTCCTCCTACACCGTCTTCCTCCTTCCTGAGCCAATAGCTCTCTTCTCTCCATCCCATCATCATCATCATCATCGAGACACAGAACTGCACCTCTGCGAGGCAAGATCTTCTCTGCTCCCGAAGTACTACGTGAACCTGATGATGAGGCTGTCCTGTGACCAGGCGAAGGTCGTAAGACTGTATCCAGTCACATGCCCTTCGGCCAAGCAACTAAACCTCCTTGTCCTAAGGAAGTACTTTGACTCCTTAGGAATCAGGGGGGTGACAAGGGTAGTCCGCAGACCAGTGAGTGGTGGCCTTATCGTCACCTTCGCGGAATGGGGACAGGCCTAGCAAATAGCCAACATAATAGAAATTAACGGGATCCAGATACTAGTGGAAGCTCGCACAGAGGACAACTTGGTGTTGGGAGTCATCTCCCACACCGAGATAGAACACATTGAAAAAGAAGAACTGGCCGAGCTGATCAGAGACCAGCTCTCAATAGTACGGAAGCTGACCAGCGTAACTGCACTGGTTGGTTACCAAAGAATCTACCAAGCGCCATATTGCTGGGATGGGAGAACATCCCGGTATGACCGTATGAAAGAAGACCAAAAAGGTGTTACAAATGCCAGAGGTGTGGCCAACTGACAGGGAGGTGTCGAGCTCGGGAGGTCTGTTGCACACCAACTGCTCGGCGGCCGCTAAGAAATGCGCAGCTTGTGGTGGCCCTCACTCCTCCTCCAACCGGGAGTGTCCCAAGTGGAGGGAGGAGTGTAGGGTGGCTAAGCTGCAAAGCAAGAAAAACTGAACTACAAGGAGGCTCTCCTTGTAGTGAAGACCGAAGAAAAGAAGAATCAAGACCCCAAGAAGACCACAGAAAAAAAAAATCAAGACCCCCAAGAAGACCACAGAAAAGAAGCCAGAATTAAACAAGACCAAAGAAAAGACAAAAAAAGCCCGATTCAGTAACATTAAAATCATCAGCGTTTTTAGACTTTTACGAGAATATACCAGAACAAGACCAAGAAGAAGAATGGAAATTGAAAAGCAATTAGAACAAAAGGAAGAACTCCAAAGAAAACTACTCTGGAAAAAAACAGCTTCGGCCGAAATAGCCGAAAGGCGAAGTGGCCAGGCATCTCAAAAACAAGTCAAGCCATGAAAGGTATTTTACTCAACGCTCTCAAACGGACAGGACCTCCTCTCAAGCTCCTCACCACACAGCAACTCCCTAGCACTGCATTGTATACAATACATATAGAGTTAAGCTATTCTGAGTTTCCTCTATTCTTAGTGTGAGATCTCCTACATCTACGTATGTATGTGAGCCTAACAAAGAGAAAATAGACAAACACAAAGAGAAATTAGACAACTGGCCACATTCATTACGCTACAACAGGGGTCACTAAACTACGGCCCGCGGGCCGGATCCCAAGTCCTTCCCCGGCTCGTGGTAGCTCCGCTTACTCTCTGACGTTACCAGAGCTTTCGTTCTGGCTTGCAAGTATTGAACAGAATGATTATGCGGCCCGCGCTCGCCATTCTTTCAGTTATCCTGCCCACTGTGAAAAAAGTTTGGTGACCCCTGCGCTACAATATCACTGCCTAATACCAAAGACATGCATGACATTGTTTTACTCAACACAAGGGAATTGAGAACTAATCATAATGGTTCTTCATTTATTAACAACATTACTCAAAATGAACAGTTACACTTTCAAAACAATATCCTCTCTTCCTAGCCAGCTAGGGGTCACCTGAATCACAATACATTTCGTGAAACAGACAACTTGACTGGTATTCAACATATATTTATACCCCGCCATGTGGGGAGATGACACCCACACGCACCCTTTAACTCTCTCCAAAACCACACTGTCTTTTTCAAACTGCGTCGCCCACAAACGGCGCCCTCTTCATGACGTCACGTCTCACTGGTTCTTTTATTGTTTCAAGCCTAAGGCAGTAACCCTCAACGGTCACTGCGATTGGCTCACGCTTGGCGGGAAACACTCAGGCGGGAAACACTGATGACAAATACCTGTAACTTACAAACAGACAACCTAAATTAACCTAACCT